GTTCCATTGCTCTTAGTGTCTCCAAACATTCGCTGCTTCCAAAATTGCTGTACTTGTTTATTGCCAGAGTCTCCCATTAGGCAGAAACCCCACAGGGGCAGGGACCCCCATGTGTCCCCCGCATCTAGAACAGTGTCTTGCACCGACCAAATAGTTTTTATTTGGAAACCTCCCCCCACCCAGGACAACACGGCATGGCTTCCTGCCCAGGCCGAGGATCCCCTTTCAAAGCTCTAGATTTGCAGGAAGCACCGGGCTCATTAACTGAAGGATTAATCAGCTCCAGCAACAAACTGGCCACCTCCAGTCCAGACAGCAGCGGAGGAAGGTTGGGAGATACACATCCCCCTTGAGGGTACATCAGCCCCCTCCAGGCTCATTTCACTTCACTTGACACCTCCTTATTCAGCACTCAATACAGTCCACCTTTCAAACAAATATTTGGCTCCGGAGCCCTGGCAGGCAGCTGTGGTGATCCCACCTGGTGGCTGAGTCCTGTTGGGTGTCCTGGTTCCAGTGGACAGCCCTGGCCCTGGCCCTGGCAGGACCCAGGGCACACGTGCTTGCCGCCTGGGTCGTGATCTCGCCTTGCCGCTGGGCCCTTCTCCCTGCAAGTACCACTCCTCCCCACCTGCCACCGTGGCTTATGTCGGGTGCCTGGGCCCAGGAGGGCTCTTGAGTCTGTCCCGCCCAAGTGCTAGCCAGACCTGTCCTGCTTAGCTTCCGAGATGGGCGTTCAGGGTGCTATGGCCATAGCAGTCTCTCAGGGTCATGTTACAGACGGTAAACCGAGGCTCAGAGAGAAGTGCATATGCTCCGGGACAGCCCTCAGGGGAGGGTTATAATTCCATTTACCTGGGGAGGAAACCGAGGCCGGTGTTGGGAAGCAACCCGGTCAGGATCTGACCCAAAGCTCCGAGGAGAAAGGGACTGGGCTGAGGCGGGGACCAAGGGAGGGCGCAGCACGGGCGTGGGGGTCTGCCGCAGCCCCAGACTGGTCTGGCATCGCTCTCTCGGCACGTTCTCCAGGCCCCGAGCTCCTACTGATCCTTCAAAACTTTCAGACTGGTCACCCCTGCGTCATCTGCCCCTCCTGCTCCAGCGAGTGGACCCGGACGGTGGGGGACAGTGGGCCTAGGCGCCAAGGTTGGGGATGGGTGGGTAGCGGGGGTGGCGGGCTAGGTCAGCTGCAGGTCGCCCTGGAGTTACCTGGGGCCACCATGTCCCGCCCTGGGGTGTCGGGATTGCGCCCTCAGCCTCTCCTGGCAG